AAATATTTTCTCTACGAACCATTGCGCGTCATAGCTTACGTAAGCAACCTTTCTGAAGAAACGTCCTGTGTAATTACCGTTGGATTTCGCACCGGCATACGAATACTGGAGGGGTACGCGGTAGCGTAGTTGGTTGAGGCACTATGCTGGTAGGTCGTGGGTTCGATTTTTCAATTGACTTAATCCTTCCAGTCGCACTATGGCCGTGGTGTCGACTCAGTCTCTGCAGAAATGAGTACTAGGTATCATTCTGGGGTGTAAAGGGCTGCCGACGCGTAAGGCTGACAACATTACCGCCATCCGTGAGCCGATTGTCTAGAAAATATAGGAGCCTCGACGTCTCACGACCCTATGGGCCTCCATGGGCTGCTACAGGGATAGCTTTACCTTTTACGAATACTGGAAATACAACTTTCCCATGGTGATGTAACGGTTTGTATTACTAATTGACAAAGGCCTGCGTCACTGTCAGGCGATGACGCTCTCGCGTCCTCAAGGTAGATGTAGTTGAGGTTAGAAGAGAAGAGAATAGGTATGTACGCAAGGATAGTGACTGTTGGTGGCTGACGGCGCGAGGCGTTTAATTAAATCCGTAATCACATAACAACCTCATAATACTGGACTGATCTCATGCTTTGAACTTCAGTAAGGAAGGTAGGCTGGATTGATGTGCTTTCTACACTCATATCATATATATATTCCAAAAGAGATTCTTTACCGATATAGCCATTGAAGTCAGAATCACTGATTATGACGCTTCTGGAGTTACACGCAAATAATTTCCGCAGAATTGCCAAGGTTTTACATGCTGAACGGTATGTTACCACTACATCATAGTATGTTGTGTCTAAAATATTGTGGCGTGCCGCCAGGAAGGTCGGATTGTAGAACGTCCATTGCTGGTCAACGGCTAGCAATTCCTAAGCAAAACGAAACATAAAAAGACCGTTGTCGCTTAAGTGACAGAAACCGAGTTGTTGAGTTCCCACAACAACGAACGCGCAACAATAGGGCGTCCGTTGCTAGGCAATGCATGGGTAGACACGTC